TGATCTCAGCTCACTGCAACCTCTGCTTCCTGGGTTCAAGCCATTTTCCTGCCTCAGCCTCCCATGTAGCTGGGATTATCAAAGGCACCTGCCACCACGCCTAGCTAATTTTTGTATTTTTAGTAGAGACAGAGTTTCACCATGTTGGTCAGGCTGGTCTTGAACTCTTTACTTCAGGTGATCTGCCCGCCTCAGCCTCCCAAAGTGCTAGGATAAGTGAGCATCTTTGTATGTAGAGTTTTGTGCACTCGTGGCAGTATTTTTTAGGGTAAACTTCTCAGCATTGAAATTTCTGGGTCAGAGGTCTTCCAACTGTTGGATTACCAAATATAATGCACTGACAGATGTCTGTCAGGTAGGTGGCAGCACTTACAGTCCCCATGAACACATCCCATTTTCCTCTCTTGCCAGCATGGGGTATTCTAGTAAAAACGGTATCTGTTTCTTTTAATTTGCATTTTTTATTATTATTAGTTTGTGGTATGGCCTTTAAAGTCTGTTGGCTGATTGTATTTCTTTTGTGAATTTTCTATTTACTGCTCTTTGGCCATTTTTCTATTGATGGTTTGTCTTTTCTCATTCATTTATAATACCTCTCTGTACTTTGAGATATTTTACCCAATAAAAATTGAAATTTTTATTCAATTTTCATGCACATTTCAAAATTTTAGTAATGAAATAACGTGGGCCGGGTACTGTGGCTCACGCCTGTAATTCCAACACTTTGGGAGGCCGAGATGGGCCGATCACCTCAGATCAGGAGTTCGAGACCAGCCTGACCAACATAGTAGAACCCTGTCTCTACTAAAAATACAAAATTAGCCAGGTGCCGTGGCAGGTGCCTGTAAGTCCCAGCTACTTGGGAAGCTGAGGTAGGAGAATCGTTTACCTGGGAGGCAGAAGTTGCAGTGAGCCGAGATTGCACCATTCCACTCCAGCCTGGGCAAAAAGAGTGAAACCCTGTCTCCAAAAAAAAAAACAACACAAAAATACAAAAATTTCCTGGACATGGTGGTGCATGCCTGTGATCCCAGCTACTTGGGAGGCAGAGGCAGGAAAATTGCTGGGATGTGGAGGTTGCAGTGAGCCAAGATCCCTCCACTGCACTCCAGCCTGTAGAACAGAGCAAGACTCTGTCTCAAAGAAATAAAATGAAATGATGAAATGAAGCCAGGTGTGGTGGCTTATGCCTGTAATCCCAGCACTTTGGGAGGCCGAGGCAGGCGGATCACAAGGTCAAGGGATGGAGACCATCCTGGCCAGCGTGGTGAAACCCCAACTTTACTAAAAATACAAAAATGAGCTGGGCATGGTGGTACCTGCCTGTAGTCTCAGCTACTCAGGAGGCTGAAGAAGGAGAATTTGAACCTGGGAGGCGGAGGTTGCAGTGAGCCGAGATCATGCCACTGCACTCCAGCCTGGCAACAGAGTGAGATTCTGACTGAAAAAAAAAAAAAAATTGTGTGTGTGTGTGTAAATATTTTAAATTCTTGGAGTAGGGAAGACCTTTCTTAGTAGAAACCAAAGTGAAGTCGTAAAGTGGGAAATTGTATAATAACATCATTCACAGAGTTAATATTTTTGACCATCAAGAATCAATCTAATTATTTCACTTTGTGTCAGCTTATCCAATTGGTATAGGTAAAAGAACTGTAGACATGGAGTTAGAAGGAATTACTAGAAATTTATGATTTCCTCTCTTACTTTCCAAGGGTAACCCAAGGCATAGTAACTGTTTCCCTATCTGTGTAATGGGGACAATGTTAATCTTACAAAATTGTTGGAAAATTTCAGTGAAGTGATATTTGTGAGAGTGCTTTGTAAAGTTTAAAGCATGGTACCCTACCTGTTGTTGCATTATGACTTTGTAATTAATTGTGGTGAAGGGAATATGTTTAGTTGTTCTTTTCCTGGATCATCCAGGAAACACAGCTTCCTGGTAGACTTTGAGATATCTTGGCCTGTTGGAGTCTCAGATTCTCATTTATCCTCATTTCCTATTAGGTCCCTTCTTCCTTCTCTCACTCTGTTGTAGCCACACTGACTTTGTTTGAATCCTTAAATAAGTGAAGCTTGTACTCATCTTAGGGACTTTACACAAGCTATTCTCTCTTTTAGGAAAACTCTTTCCCCACCTTTTCACTGAGCTAATCTTATTCATTCACATGTGGTTTGGAAAGTTCTGTTTTGGGGATGGGTGTTTAAGTTTATACTTAGTCTTATCAAAATGTCAGTCTCATTGATTTCTGTTTTTTTGTTTTTCTTTTCAGACAGAGTTTCACCCCCGCTGGAGTGCAGTTGCGCCAGCTCAGCTCACAGCAACCTCCACCTCCCGGGTTCAAGCAATTCTCCTGCCTTAGCTTCCCGAGTACCGGGGATTATAGGTGCCACCCACCACACCCGGCTAATTTTTGTATTTTGAGTAGAGACAGGGTTGACCATGTTCACCAGGCTGGTCTTGAACTCCTAACCTCAGATGATCCACCCAACTCAGCCTCCCAAAGTGCTGGAATTACAGGTGTGAGCCACCACACCCTGCCTAGTCTCGTTTATTTCTTGGTAGTAATAAAAGAAATAGAGGCATGTAAATTATAGCGGATAGTTTTTATCTTATTACTCCAGTGTCCATTCTCCCTTCTGCCTTGAGAATCATCTTCCATTGATTGCATTTGGGGAAAGTGTCGGGGATAGATGTGCATTGACCTCCATATGACTATTTCTCCTGCTTACCTTTTCTTCCTCCATGGACAGCTGCTCATTTTCTTCTGCTTCTGGCCTGGAGCTCATGGGCTATAATCCACCTTGCTGAGATACTGCTGGAGTAAGGGTGGAAGGGGGAGTACGGATAATCTGGGCCAGGTACCACTTCTTCTTCATGGTATGACAACAAAAGTCATAGGATAGATGAGACTTTACTGAAGGAATGGGGAAGATTAACACCAGAAGGAGGCCGGGCCCAGTGGCTTACTTTTGTAATCCCAGCACGTTGAGAAGTCAAAGTGGGTAAATGTCCTGAGCTCAGGAATTCGAGACCAGCCTGGGCAACACAGTGAAACCCCATTTCTACAAAAAATACAAAAATTAGTTGGGTGTGTTGGCATGCACCTGTTATCCCAGCTACTCAGGGCGCTAAGGCAAGAGAATCACTTGAGCCCAGGAAATTGAGGCTGCAGTGAGCCATGTTCATGCCACTGCACTCCAGCCTGGGCAACAAAGTGAGACCCTGTCTTAAAAAACAAACAAAAACACTGGAGGGAAATAATTTTAAACTTAAGCTAAAAAGAATTTTCGTGGTCTGAAGAAAAAGATAAATTAAAATCTCTATGAGGAACTCCTCATGGGCGATTCCCCCTGGTTTCTAACCTTACACTCTGGTCTTGAGATCTGTTTCTCTCCATTCTGAGAGCAATTCCTTCAAGCTTTGCAGAGCTCCACCTTTCAGTAAAACCCTAGCCCATCCTGCATGGGTTGGCCTCACCCCAGGATCTGTGCACCACCCCTGCTCCTCAATCCCACACTCTCTCCAGGAGTACATTGCCCCAGGTCAGACCGATTCACTCTAGATAATCTAAGGCAAGTCTTTGTTAGGACAGTGTAGAGTAGAGGAGGGACTCTAGAGCAGATCTGTATAGAAATGTCCAATGTGGAGTATATTTATGCCTCTGTTCATGTGACATTCAACTAGTAACATACCCTTCCATTGACAGACATTAATTCTTAGAGAAAGCACCAGCCAAACCTAAGGAAAAAGAACGTATTTGCCACTGAGATATTATGCAGAGCAACTCAAGTATAGCTCGAGTTCAGTTCTTAGATGAGGCCCCACCCTCTTCCTTCCTGCTCCAGTAGGGGCTACTTTAGTTCTCGCAGATACAGTCATTTATACTTTCCTATTAATTTTCTTTCATATTTGTTAAAAGCCTTTATTAAATGTATGGCTAGAGTTGTCCCAATTTTTAAGTTAAACCAAAGCTTACAAGGAATTTTGTGTTTGATAATGAATCAAAGAGGGTTATTTGGCTGAGTACAGTGGCTTATGGCTGTAATCCCAGCACTTTGGGAGGCCGAGGCAGGCAGATCACTTGGGGCCAGGAGTTCAAGACCAACTTGGCCAACATGGTAAAACCCTGGCTCTACTAAAAATACAAAAATTAGCTGTGTGCAATAGCAGGCACATGTAGTCCCAGCTACTTGGGAGGCTGAGGCAGGAGAATAGCTTTAACCTGGGAGGTGGTTACAGTGATCCAAGATCCCACCACTGCACTGCAGCCTGGGCGACAGAATGAGACTGTTTCAAAAAAGACTGTTAAGAAATGCTGAAATTATTTTTAGAATTTTTGTATTCATGTTTTTAAGATTGGAATGTGTTTAATTTCTTGCAGGGCTCTCACCTTTGTATATCCTTTTGGTGCCACATTGAGTGTCATGAAACCAGCAGTGGCTGTTCTGTCTACAGGCTCTGTTTGCTTCCCACTTAACAGACCCATTCTGGCTTTCTATCACTCAAAGGTACAGCCTTTCTTAGATATGGGTGTAGATGTTATTTTTATTGTTGAAATAATAAAAACTACCTTACCATTTCCAGAAGTCTTTTATATGCTTTCTCATTGGTCTTCCTGCCAGTCCTGCAAAGTAGTGTTTCAGTTTTATACATTTTGCTTATGGAGAAATGGTGGATTGTCCAGCAACTTATGATGTTAAGGCCTAAACCTAGCTCTTATTATTCTAAACCCAAAGCTTTTTCACTATAGCATGAGGCTACCTGTATTATAACTTTTTTTTTTTTTTTTTTGAGACGGAGTTTCGCTCTTGTTACCCAGGCTGGGCTG